TGTTAATTTCTAATATAAGCGATTGAAAATCGATATTCTTAATATAACTTGGTGCACAAAAAAAATGTGAATGTACTTTTTTTGCCATTTTTTGTCATCATTGCATGAGTTTAACATTTTGTTATAGATTTCAATTCTTTTGCAAGAAAAACACTGAATTCTCAGAGTGTTACTTATAGCCATCTTTTTATGTAATGAAACATCGATATCGTTATCGATTTATCGGCCTAGTTTTAGAAAACTATCGATATCCGTTTAAAAAGGCTGTATCGGTCGAGCCCTTCTAGAAAGTAACGAGAATCATTTCTAAACAATTCTCTTATGCAGATCATGAAATGCAGGAACTTTATATATTTAGGGAATTGAAATATATTATTGAAAAATGTTCGTGAAATCAACTGCATTTTACAAAAAATTGTGGAAAAATATTTCACTCTCACTCACAAGTGACCGCTTAATAAAATCTAGATATAGAGAAGAAGACCAACTGATTAAAGGTCATTTGATTCAAGTGATGACACAATGCACTTTAATTCCGACATTGTGATATAATACAGAAATAAATTTCATCCATTGTTTCATCACAAATGATGACATGGGTGGACATATCGAATGAAATTATAAATAAATAGGAAATCATTTGTCTGAAATAATGTGTCATAATATTGTCATTGTGAGATAATAATAAAACACTTCCTGTGAAAGGGCTCAACAAACAATGGAACGCTGGAGAAACGTGTTGCAAACTCATTCAAGGTTTACACAAAACATTTGAGTGTTTCATGAAATAAGTATCAATAAATGAGCATCACTAGGAGCTCATAGACTAGAGCAGGGTTACTCAACTATTTTTACCGAAGATCCGCATACGAAACTTCAAAATTAAACTGATCCGGTCTTCCCAGAAACTCGACCGGCTAATGATTATTAGCTAATCAAGATTGTTAATATGGTATTATAGTTCTTTTCATTTACAGTATATTCAAAACATTTTGATATTAGCAAGTGCCTTATGTCTTTATTTTCAAATTTGCTCTCATCTAGGCCAGGGGTTCATGTTTTGGTCTGGATTTCGAAGTTCTCATTTTAGACAGTTCAGATCCAAGAATTACATAAAATATCATCAAAATTTTAAAATGTGACATACGGCCTATTTAGAGCGTTATGTCAATTAAATGGAATCTCAAAACACTTCTTTTTCAAAGGCAGGGATTTTAAATTCAGTCAGTAATAACTAGTCGATATTGAATCTAATCAAGCCTGATTCTTAGACAAAATAAACAACTTATATTCGAGCCAACTTCGATCACATTCTAATCCTGAAAGATCCTAATATTTGAACAAAAACAAGTACTATGATGTCACCATCCCTACCATTATGTTGCCATAATAATAATAATAAAGATGACCTCATCCAGGGACCATCTGGAAAGCAGTGTTCCCATTGGTTAAATAAACATTGTGATTGGTAAACAAATTCAAAGCACATTTTTCGGGTAAAAAAGTGGTCGCTCCCGAAGTATGCGAACCAAGATGACGGACACCGGATTGTAGTATGTGTACCAGGTTAGGGTTAGGCCTCAATTTCAGATACAAATACTACAGGAGTCACTTGGCTATTCTCCGAACTCTAATAGAACTAAAAAAAGGAAAATTGAAATAAAATCATGACCTAACCCTAACCTGGTACACACACTATGATCCGGTGTCTGCCATCTTGGTTCACATACTTCGAGGGTACCAAAAAGTGGAATTCAAGAAGAAGAGGAATTGCACGAACATTTAAATGTATATCTTGTTGCAATTGATGCCATTTTCAGAAATAGAAGTCGTGTGCTATCGATTGTATTTATAAGACTCGCAATCTTTCAATTATGATCTTTGACACTTCAGCTTTCAACCTAAGGAGAAAGCTTATTTCCTGTATTTATTTCAATTTGTAATTTGTCAGCCAAATTCGTAAATGTTTTTTCGAAAATTCTGGATTTTGTAATTTCAATTTACTTAACACTTTTTTCTCGACAGTATTAATTTGATTTGATCCCTGTATCTTTTAGCAAGTTAAGGTCGTCTGTGACTTCTCAAATATCACGCTTTCCACTTGAAGGATTGGGACCTTGCTTTTAGCAAACTTGTAAAATACCAAAACATATCTCTTGGTGTGTCGACATTTGCTTGCCACTATTCTATTAGTATTTTTCGACTTTTGTTTAAGAGTTTTAGACCTTGATTAGAGCAAATTTAAATGAATGGGCACTTGCAACATTTCCATCAACACTTATTTTCGACTTGGTTAGGACCTTGCTTTAAAAACTTAATAATAAATAAGGAAGGCTACATAGGACAAACTTGGTTAGGAAATCAAACTAATTCAAGAAAGCTACCATTCAGATGTAATAATAGACATTGTGGTGTAACAATACTTTTGGTATGTGACGTCATCAATACAATGTGGCAGTAATGAAAAATTGTGTTCACATTGAAATTTTGATTTTAATTCATAAAATAGAAATAAATTGCGAGCGGGATGTATTTTTGAACAAAAAAAAGCTAAATGTTATTACATATATGACGTGTACAAGAATTTGAATACTTATCTGAAATAATTCAATAATAAACATCATTTTCATTATTATGCGATATTAATAACAAAACTCCCAAAAATTTGAATATAATTACCGCTATTACCTCATAGATTCCAACTGACATTATTACCACGAATTCTAGCTTAAATTTTGAATAAATTACGTTTTAAAATCCAGTTTGTAGAGCTTATCACAAGTATGTTTGTTCGCAAACCTTCCTCCCATATTCTTTAGCATAGAATTTGAATTTATAGAAAACTTCAAAACAATCATTAATAATAAGGAGGAAAATGTATGTATTGTGGTGGCATGAATGTTAGTAATTTGGCCCCCCACGCGCTCCAAATAGACAATCACTGGCAACATCTATTAAATATCTGCCACGTTATGAAACTAAATCCAAACGAGTGGCAGAAGGCAACGTTGAGTTCGCTTTACAAAAAACTAAAACAACGGACGTATGAATGCAACAATTCGGAATGCACTAATTGGCTAAAAATAAATTTACTTAACAACTGGCAAAAACCACACTTTACTAACCAGGAACGCCAAGCCGCCTACAGAATAAAAAGAGACGCATACCAATTTGGTCACAGAAAGTGGAGATATGGGTTGACACGAAACAAGGAAAATTCCCGTCCCCTGAAACTAAACTGTAAGCTCTGTAAACAAACCCCGGATACAGCCAACCATATTTTTTTAGCATGACCCACATACCTCAATATTCACAACGTCACTCACGAATTCCTATGAGCAATAACAGGCAACAACTTAAACATTTTCGACAATATGTACTAGGGCCCGAATACGCCAGTCGTTCCTAAGATGTTCGCTTTATTGAAGATGGAAATAATTAAATCTAAACTCAGACTGGATAGGGAAGACAGGTATATAAATCAACTGGACATACAATACATACAGCAAATGGTTGCCAATAAGTTTGCACAATTTATAGACAAACATAATTCCACCCAAAGTTTTGAACAAGTCTACGAGCTACAGCAAGGCTGGAGAGAACTAATTCTGCCAAACAACCAATTAATCCACGGAGATCTATAACTCCCACTCTACCCATAAATGGTAGCATAGAAAAAATAATACCATCCAATAATCCAACAGAAATGATGAATCGGAAGCACCAGGGTGAAAGTTATGCTGTGTTACGCATTTCATATACGGAAGCCCTACATGTATGAATGTCTACTCGGATACATGTATTAGAAGCGTAAAACCGATGCGACTCGGACATGATGTGTTAATGTATCACTGATCCAAGACAAACAAAAAAAATGTTGTACATAGCATAGATGTCAACGATATGATGAAAAAAATAGTACATGGCAAGCAGGCAACGGGTTACAACACAACCTGAGCTCGCCTAGACTATAGCTCACAAAATGATTTCTCACTCTACATTAGGACAATGAAACTGTCTCGGACAACGCTGATTAGACATCTCCTAATATATAAACATAATGTAAGCTTCTCCTTTCCTATTAACAATATACTAGGCCTAGAGATACTCACCCCAAATCTCGTAACAGCCTGTATAGGAGACACCAACATGTTGATGGAGCTAGATTTGCAACTTACCTGCGCTTCGGTCGACGATACAAATTACTTATTTTATTATGAAAGTGAAGGCAACCTTGAAAACCTTATTAGGTAACATTTACCAATACCAGCAGTCGTGCAATTTAAATACCATTTAAAACCACCACCCCCCCCCCCCCCGCCAAAAAAAAAACCAACACTTGCAGCCCCTGCTTTTCTCTAAAGTACCTAGTTTTGCGTTCAACACAATTCGGTCCGTTATTTTGGGTGGGTATTTTGGGTGCCCCCCCCCCGCCAAAAAAAAAACCAACACTTGCAGCCCCTGCTTTTCTCTAAAGTACCTAGTTTTGTGTTCAACACAATTCGGTCCGTTATTTTGGGTGCTATACCTCGTTTCATAATAAGAAAGCTACAAATAAATGCAGAAAAATAAATGCAATAAATTAAACAACTTAGTCAATCGACTTCAAATTGCAAATTATATCTACTGGATGCCTTTGCTCATGGCGCCCATAGACTGCAATCAATTGAACAATGCTACACTGGAAAAACAGTTCTGCATAGTCATTTCTTTCAAAGCCTTGTTTGAGGTAAATGTGGCAAAAAATTTCAGACATACATCACATTTGACTGCAATGATACTTATCGTCAAATTACAGACCTAAATTAAACTTAATATTGTTAAAATCAAAGCCTAACAAAATTCAAATGAATTCGAAGACGATTAATTTTTGACATCACCATCCAAATAAAGACACACAACTAGTTTTCAATACAACGCTGACAAGCAAAGAAAAAAGCAGTCAGCCATATCACCAAATTACAGACCCCAAAATGAACCCAATTTTTATCCAATCATACCTCCAGCATGCTATGAAGAGCTTTATCATCCAGCAGGCTCTGTAGAAATTCTAAATCATTGTCGGCTCCGTCTGATAATGCGTGGATTTCTTCGAGACTATCGAGTACGTTGGCAACAGCACCTGGAATGTATATACCAGTGCGTAAGATTTGTACACTAGGCCACAATCAGATTTTTTTGCAAAGTGCCGTATTGAAAAATTTACTGTTGGCTAGAACGTTTTTTTTATGCAGAAGCCGCATCAAGGAAACATTTTTCCTAGGGGGCTGGCCGTGCATTCAAATAATTTTTCTTTTCGTAAGACCGAATGTGACGCTTTAATGTTTTTTTTGTGGATGTGCTCCAAGAAAATATTTGCCAAGTGCCGCTTGAGAAATTTACTGTGACAATGATTAGAGCAGGGGAGAGCAAAGCTTTTTGTTCAAGAGTGGCATTGAGAAAATCCTCCTTTTCATAAGACCGAATGTACTGTCATAGTTACTACTCCCATTCGCTATGATAGTGGCAAATTTAATGGAGGCTGACATTTTCGGGCCAGATCAAAAAAACATACATATAAAGAAAACATTTAAAACATAACAATAAACATACAGTTAACACCCCTCAACAACAAAAAAGTATGTTTTATTTAAGCAACACGTTGAAAATAGGTGGATGGAACGTGAATATCCAAAATAAGGCGGGAAAGATCAAATCTAACAAGTATTTTTAACTAGAATTCGGTTGGAAACCGAAGACTTATCGATCGGAGGTTAGGGGATCACCCAAAACAGTGGTCTTACTCCATAGTGACACCGTGTGTCCCATCACTAATTAATTATTAACTCGGTAATTATTCGACATAATCCATCCAAAATCAATAGGCTCCTGTTCCGAACTATGATGAATGAACATGCAAAATTTGGAACAGATTCAACCTCGCTTTCGTGAGATATTGCGTGTATCTAACAGACAAACAGACAAATACCTATCAGCATACTTACCGATCTTAAGATTGATAAGTAATTACCTCTGCGCCCCTCAAAATATCGTCTACGCCCCCTTTGTGAGACGTGCCCACCGTACCGATTGAACCACTTTTCTACACAGAACTCTGATAATGTAACAGAAACATCGACAAATCACACCGTATTTTTTTACAGAGGGTGCTCTATACATCCTCCTTATTCAATAGGCTGATTAATTTTACTCTTCGGTACTCAAAGATGGAGAAAATCACTTTTATTTTTTCAAATTTCTTGGAGAGACACCCGATGGATCACGCAAATTTGTTGTATTATTTCAATGAAGGGGGACACTGTTCTATTCCGTCACACTTTTTTTATGACCTTTCCATCCAATCCAAGGTCAGCTAAGGCTAAGGGCTCACCAATACAAACACGAGAATTATGTGTCTGTATATTTCAGCATTGCTGACTTGTATTTCCTTACCTGATGACGTTGGGTCTTGCTCTTCAAAAAGCTGTGCATTGTCTCCCTCTAGTGGCGGATCACTATAAAATGACGTACACTTCATACTTGACACAGCAGCTAAGACAGCACCCTGTATATTCGAACATAACATGGTAGAAATTAGTATTATAAAAAAAGTTTAGAGTGAAAAGCATAAAACGGTACTCATGAAGTATGTGTACCAGGTTGGAATAGGCCATAATTTTATTCCAATTTTACTACAGGAGTTACTTGGCTAGTCCCCGAAATCTGGGTACACATACTTCAGGAGTAACATATAATGTACATATTTTAGATTGAAAGGTGTTGTCATCAAAAGAAGTGGTACGTGTTCGCTCACCCAAAAATGGTAAGTTAATTTAAACATACGCACACACATAAAATCACGCAGACAAAGTAAAATTAGGGAGGAAAAAAGGAAGAAACATAAAATAAAAACATATTTTAGATTCGATATCTTAATAAGCAGTGAAAGCTTTCACATGCAAATACTAGATCAGTGGGTTTTCAACCTTTTTTTTTCGTGGCCCATTTTTGTGGCCCAAAAATTTTTATGCAAGTCCCCCTTGCTACAAGAAAAATCCAGATCTTTCTGCGAAAATGGACTCTTTAACGTTTATAATTAGAATGAGAATTACCACTCAGTAGCAGAAAACAGCATCGTCATAGATTGATATTGTGACATAAATAAAACTATCAATTTTCGTAGTTTTGTGGCCCAGCAGTGGGCCATGAGACCACTGGTTGAGAACCAGTGTACCAGACCAGTGCTCTTCAACAGGGGTTCCGCAATACATGCAGTGGGGTTCCGTGAGTTTATTAGGGTTCCTCAGGTGTTCCGCGTTTTTTATTTCAGGAGAAATTATTTCTTGCTTCAGCATGTTGATGCGTCATTATAAATATTCTTAGACCACCGTGTCTCATTCAAACTCCATGTAGGCCAGTTCGTTAAACAGGAGGTTTAGTCACAGTGCAGTTAGTAGACAAAACAGAATTATTTTCGGTTGTTGCGTCACTTTAGTCATTGTTATGCAATAACAAGAACGCTATTGTTGCACAATAGTCACAGAATGTTCAAAGTATGTAGATACTAGATATTGATCGAGAGTAAGTACTATAAAACTAGAGTTGTTGTTTAGCTTTTCGTGTTACTAACATTTTTTTTAATTCTGTTAATTGGGGTTCCATAAAAAACGAAAAATTCTATCAGGGGTTCCACAATAACGAAAAGGTTGAAGAGCACTGTACTAGATTCACCCACCTTCAGTTTTCTCCTTGCGTTAAATTTCTTTAATTGTTCGATCGAGTCCGCGAGATGTTTCCTCGGAGCGTACCGATCCCGTTCTCGAATCCAGGGATGATTTAAACATTCGAAAACTGTGATTCGTTCGTTGGGGTTAAGGGTCAACATACGACGAACTAAATCTTTACACGGTTCGCTGATCGCGTCCCATTGTTTTGGATTCATCTAAAAAAAATAAATTGTATGATATGAAACTCTAAAAGCTATATTAAATATTGCGAGAAAATATCAGGGACGAGGTGTATAGCCCACCAAAGCACTGGAGAAAGTTCGCTCCTTGAGAAAGTTTCGATAATTAGTATAATCACTGTTAAACTCGACTTTTCTGCATTTCCAAATTTAAACTCATTGAATATACATGGATTTGTTCTTGGTTGAAGGTGTCCCTATATAGAATACATTGAAGGCCTATTGAAGAATATACGTACGAGGCAAAACTCGAAAAAGTTGCTTAGAGCAATTTTACCGATCGCTAGGAATTCCTCACATGAAAATTTTATTTTTTTTTTGGGTTGTGGTTTAATTTGATTTTATATTCAATTTTTATTTTCAAACTTCTGCAACTTTTCAGTAAAATACTTCGAAGAATATTGCTTCGAGTTTTGATTAGATTACTAGCTTGAAATGCACTCATTTGGGCGCTCCATAAGTATATTTACCAATATGGAGGTAACCAATTTTGGTATATAGAGGTTATATTCACTTTGCTAACACAGAGAGTCCGCAAACTCGTAATAGAACAAAAAAGGAAAAATCTGAATAAATTATGTCCTAACCCCAATCTGGTACACACATGATGAAAGGAACCTTATTTCTTTGTTTTATTTTTAAATAAATTGTCTAAAATTTCAACATTTGTTATTTTGTCTGCCCTAAATATCGATATTTCAGGATCAAAAATTGTATTTCAGAAATAAAAAAAAACAGTGGGACATTCATTTCATTAGTCAAAATAGTGGGACATTCGGTGTCCAGCAAGAGAATTTGAATTAATTGAAATTCCCAAGTTTCTTCCTAATTTGGCAGCAACACTTACATGAAATTTGCCTTTCTTTATGCTGTCGTAAAGTCTTTCCCGAGTTCCATAGAACGGCAAACTTCCGCTGACTAAAATGAAAAGCATGACACCGCAACTCCATATATCTACTGGTTTACCGTACGGTTCTCCTTTGACAACCTCAGGAGCCATGAAATGAGGTGTCCCAACACTTCCTGGAAAAGATAGTTTATCATTTAGAACAGTAGGTTTAAACAACGAGTCGAAACCGGTTTCAGCCGGTCAGGGGTTATGCAAGTTTTCATTCAAATGCGAGAGCCCATATCAAACATGTGCAAAGTATGGCCGGCGGGTCAAATCCTGCCCGCTAGGTAATTCAATCTGGCCCGCCTGTTTCTGCCACAACCAAACTGAAACTAAATTTTGATGTTTTAGTTCAAAATAGCTCAAGGAATTTGTTGAGATTGCGGTTAAATTTAGTTTTGGCAGGAGGTATATTGTTCAAATTAACAAATAGCTACAGTGTTTCCCCGAAAATAGGACAGTGTCCTATTTCAATTTTATTTCGAAAAAACACACTAGGGCTTATTTTCAAAGGATGTCTTTTATTTTCTTTTATCAAAAACAAAATTACAAAGTAGAAAATAACGAGATTTCTTGATCGACTCGACTAGGTCTCATATTAAGGAGAGGGTTTATATCAAAATCATTTTCAAAATTCAGGCTAGGTCTTATTTCGGGAACGGGCAGAGGGAGACTTGTGTGTAGGGAGAATTTAATTTCATATTCACAGCCTGAATGAATGACACCAAGCCAACAATACAATCGGAAACTTTAACAAAATCAGCCGCGTTGTATAGTGTAGAATTTCAATAGAGATAATTGAAACAAAAATTTTTGACAGAAATTCATCAGATTGACTAAACCAGTGGTTCTCAACCTTTTTTTCTTCTGTGGCCCATTATCTTATTCATGTAGAGGAAAAACTACAGGAAAAGCAATAAAATTCTTTTTGTAAAGAAAGACACTTCCAGTTTATTAATCCAAATGAAAATTACCACTCAGTAGCAAAAACAGCATCATCATTCATTGCTACTACAATCAAATTTAACTAATTATTCAACAACTCGAGCAATTTTTAATAAGTTTGTGGCCCACTTTGAAATGTTTGTGCGGCCCAGAAGTGGGCCATGGCCCTCTGGTTGAGAACCGGTAGACTAAGCAGTCTGATAAAAAACAAGGCTTTTTGTGCTTTCAAGGTTATTACTTATCGATTTTAATCGGTTAAGTATGTTGGCAGATATTTGTCTGTCTGTTAGATGCACGCTATATCTCACGAAAGTGAGATTGGATCTGCTGCAGATTTTGCATGTGCATTCATCATATCTCGTACCAGAAGCCTATTGATTTTGGGTGAATTATGTCGTATAATTAGCGAGTTACCAATTAATTAGAGATGGGACACAAGGTGTCACTATGGAGTAAGAGCGCTGTTTTTGGAAAATCCATAACTTTCGATAAGACTTCGGTCTCTGACCAATATTCTCGTTATTGTTGTTGTGGGGTAGGGAGGTAGATCCAGAGTTTAAATATCTTTCAAGACAGCTGGGGCCTTTCATCAACACATAGTCAGGAGTTGTTTAAAAATTGTCTGAAGGCTACTTGATTCGAGAGTTTCAATGCACATTTACATGAATATATTTCGTCAGACGAAATGTTACAGAAATATATTCATGTTAATCTGCAGCAAGACTCTTGAATCACAAGGAATAGTGATTTTTACTCTTAGATGGCGAGACTATTTATATTGCAAGGATGTCGTAGCAAGAGTGGAGATAACTATTCTAAGTGATTCAGAGTCTTGCTGCATACATGTCAGTAAAGATTTGCATTGCATCGAATAGACTTCTTTGAACAACAGCTAAAAGACTCATCATCTAAGTCAGGGGTCGGCAACCTTTTGTCGCTCGCGGGCCAAAATTAAAGGTTGCAAGTCATTGGCGGACCGCACATGTTTTTAGAAAGTTGAAAATCGAATAGATGACCGATGAATCACATTTTATCACACAGATCAGAAGTTAAATTTTAAGCAGCGCGCGAAGACTGACCATTTGAATATTTTTTGCGTCATTAAACCATTTGCACTTAGCATCAATTTTTCTGTGTTTTGTTGCCATTTGTCTAGATTATAGACAAAATTATAAGCTCACTAAACGAGTAATTGTGAATTATATACTTGTTACGTTATAATATAATTTAGTCTAAACGTAAATTATTTTGCGTAAAGAATAAAATCGACAAAACAGCTATGATTTGTTACTATAATTCAGTGAAGCGTCGCGGGCCGGATTATATTGTTCCGCGGGCCAGGTATGGCCCACGGGCTGTAGGTTGCCGACCTCTGATCTAAGGGTTAAGATTACTATTCCGTGGGATTTAAGAGTCTTGCTGCAGACTAACACAAATGCGAAGATAGACTTGTCTCAAGAACTCTTATGTTACCAAAATACATTTGTGTTAGTGTGCAGCAGGGCTCCTAAATTAAATAGAACAGTCATCTTCACTCTTTTTACAGCATCCATGAATTATACGCATATGATCCAACCAGCACAAAGGCATAGAAGAGGAATAAGTAGTAGTTTCATGTAACCCCAACTGATAATTGACTCGTGTATATATTTCTCCCCCCCCCTCCGCCTTACCTGTAACAAACCCATCATCATCAACTTGAATTGAAAGTCCGAAACCTCCAAGTTTGACTGGAGCTGAATTTTCTTTCGTAGCGAGAAGCACACAGTGAGGCTGTAAAAGGGAGAATTAAAAATAGTCAGGGAGTGATGGCTCTGCGGTTAATTTCTAGAATGAAACCTAAATATTAAACGCTAAGGATAATAAAGATACAAACACAACAGGCAGGCAAGATCAGACCTAACATATATTTTCATTTTCAATTACTTTCACAACCTCTTCAAAAAATTATCCACGCCCTCCCTTGTTGGACACGCCCCCCATTTGGGATCACTGTAATAGATTGTAGATTCAAGCAGGGTTCTGTCATTACAGTCCAAGGGTTCCGCAAGTTGACATTTCGATTCAAAAGTTTAGGTATGATGAAATTCACAGGCATAATATAATCATAAAATAAAGGTGTTTCACCAGTGCTATGTGAAAACCTTTAGGTGTTCTGCGCTGAATTCACAATTTTGACTAGTACATTCTAATGTATACCGTATTTGCTCGTTTTGTAGCCCGGGCCGATATTTTTTTAAACCAAACTCACCAATTGGGCCCTTATTCAAGCGCTTGTTATTTTTAAAGTAAAATTATACACAAAAATTACGGTATCATTGAAGACAAATATTTGACGACATTAATCCTTTCTCCATGTCAATTTATTCACGTCAAACGCAAATTATTCACGTCTTAAGAGTAATTCCCTCATATTACCCGTAGTTTATATTATTAACAAGAAACAACAAACAATAAGAAGAAAAGTTTTGCGACGCCCTATCAATATTGAAACGACGCACTTGGGCGTCGCGATGGCAAGCACCGGCCCTCATTTTTTTATGTTCTGTTCACACGGGCGGCTATTCAAACGAGCCCTTAATCAAGATCGGGCGGTAAAACGGGAATAATACGGTATATATATATATAATTATTTGCACGAGGGTTCCACAAGCCTCGAGGGGTTTCGCTCTATCAAAAAAATATGAACATCGTACTGAACTATGAATCCCATCCTCACCCGGGGTGTAAAAAAGTGGGAGAGCAACGCTGAATCCAAAAAATTTGGACCCAGATTTCAAAAATCCTGGGTTAAAATCCCATGACCAGCTTCTGTAACTGAACTGGACTTGAACAAATTCAGCAACATCAAATAGGCTAAGCAATAAGCCGACATCAAAACAGGCAAAACAAACTAGGCCCAGAAAACTCGGCGCTCCAGAAGTATGTGTACCAATATGGAGGTAACTAATTTTGTTCGCCTATTTTACATTGAGTTGTGTAAAGGGACTGAAACCTAGGAGCAGGGGGCAGATTCATTTAGCTAAAACAGACAGTCCCAAAACTTGTAATGGAACTAAAATAAGGAAAATCAGAATAAAATTAAGGTCAAACCTGGTACAAATACTATGAGAGTACAGACTTACCTTTATGTCTCTATGGACAACGTTGTTTTCATGACAGTAGCGAAGAGCGTCTAGAATTTGGCTCATATAGTGACTGAAATGAAATGAGACGTAAGTTAGTATAGAAGTTTGCAAATGTTTGGGTCTGATTACTTCTGCGCCACGTGGTAATCACCCTTTATTCACATCAGTGGTTCCCAGAGTCAAGTGCCTGCAATGGCACCGGTATGCATTATTAAGATATCAGTAAAACTGAATTGTTATGAATATACATATGCATAAACTACGATAATGACATAACAATTGACGGTATAAAACATGTAAAAAGGTTGGAACAGTAAGTGTTGAACCATTCCAAACTTGATAGGCAGAGGTTTGGGAACAACTAATTTACATTTTCGTATGAGGACGCTACTTGGGTGATGGTACAATATAATTTGTAACAATATCATAGTAGGAGCTGTAAATATGTATCTGCTTTGAAGGGGAGATAAGGTTTTTATGTTGACAAGATCTCGGATTTAAACATCACGCTCCTCACTTTCCAGTAATAAAAAAATTGAGTGGACAATACTGGGTTGGATAATAACTGTAAATCGCAGGTCAGTAACTGATCCTGATTCTGAGTGGAAACAGTCGAAATGCAGGATTGACCCACAAAAAAAAATGTGTTCCGACAATTAATATTAAATAACCCGGTTCAAATCCCATGCCCCCACCCGACCCATGGTGTGATATACTGTATTTGCTCGTTTTGTAGCCTGGGCCCATATTTTTTTCAACCAACTCACTAACCGGGCCCTTATTCAAGCACGGGCGCTTGTTATTTTCGATCGTACAATAATTAATATATTGTTATTTCCAGTTCTCAAGTATGATTGATTTAAACAAGAATAACGAAAATTTTGACTTTTTCTACCCACCGCAGGTACAAATCCGCAAAAGAAGAAAAGTTTTGCGACGCCCTATCAATATCGAAACGACGCACTTGGGCGATGCAACGCCCAGTTTGAGAACCATGGTGTTACGTAATCAATGCTATCTGTTATGTACTGGGACGACTAAGGCGTGAGTGTTACCTACCTGCGAGTAAAATTCAACAGCGTTGTGACAAAAGCGCTTCTTATTTCCTATTGTTTTCTACCACTGAAAAATCAGCTTTTACATCGGGCGGGTATTCAAGCACCGGCCCTTATTTATTTTTATGTTCTGTTCACACGGGCGGCTATTCAAACGGGCCATTAATGAAGATCGGGCGGTAAAACGAGCATATTACGGCTGGGTCCTCACAACAATCCTAAATCCTGATTCGGTCAATATTGCTGTCGTGTACAATAAAAATAGCTCATTGATTGCATGTAAGTGGCTCCTTGGCAATGACAATGTCATACACCAAATTTAGACATGGTGCTGAATTAGACCATTATCACAAAGCGGTTCTGACTCCATTTATCGTAATATCTTGAGTTTGAATCCAATGCACCCCTTCCAGATAATTTTGGCAGGGAATACTGAATTGGGTAGTGACTAATCCCCACAATAAATGTAGCTCTTTGCATATAAGCCTTGTTTTATTGAAAGTGCCACAACAAATAAATCTCTAACCTTGTAACGGCTTCGCTGTAGACGAATCCCATGTTCGCTCGTTTCACGATTTCGAAGCAAAGATCAGCGCCGTCCATGCTAAAAAAATAATTTCATGAAATTTTTGAATAAAAATTTAGTTAACACTGTACCATACATGAAAGTCGTTGAATATGCAAATTTTTTTTTAATTTTTCAGCATTTGCATAGGTCAAATGTCATTGGAAAAGGGCTCTTTAGCGTCATTTCACAGAACAGAACTCGAGCATATCCTCCTAAAAGCTGAGTCAAATGTTGAGATCCAATGATTAGCGGCAAGAAATTTTTTAAAATGATCGAACAAAATGGGCGACCCAGAAGTATGTGTACCTATATGGAGGTAAATAATTATTGAGGGGGGGTGAAGCTAATTGCAAATAAAATACTTCCATCCATGTATTTTCAACAGTTTTTTTTAATAAACATACTTCCGCCTTAACATCTGTTATTCGAAGCTTAGTGTGAGCTAGTTATTTTCAAGGTGGGGGTGAGACTTCATGTACTTGCGGGCCAAATATAAACATTTCCGGCAGCGCGCGGGCCGCAATATTTCTGCCTTCGAACAATCGCTATCATAATTAAACTTCAAATTATGGCGCATTCGCATCGCTACCCTTCTATTGCTGTGTTCAAAAAGTACACAATAATTTTAGAAAAGGGGGGCGCGACTTAAAAAAGTTTGAGTACCACTGGTTTGGTTATTTATAATAAAATTTGAAATAAATCAAACTTTGTATGTGGTGGAAAGTAACTTTCTAAACGAAAACGGGGTGTACAAAATTCAGCGCTCCCGAAGTATGTGCGCCAAGATGGCGCTCAACCTGAACCCTAACCTGGTACACATACTATGTTCAGGTTGTGCACCATCTTTGTGCACATACTTCTGGAGGTCCAAATATTCTTCACGAACGCATGCGGTATGCGAGTCGTAATTTGCCCATCCCTGCTTTAAGAGTTTTATTTTGTTTCAAGTAAAGTAATACTCACTATTCGAAGACCATGTACAGCAATCCTTCCTCGCTGTAAACTTCATAGAGTTCAACAACGTTAGGATGTTTCAGCATGTGACATATTGTCGCTTCTCTCTTCAAATCTGTGGAACATGCAGGAATAAGAATTAACGCATTGTAAGTTTGTAACCTAGGATCTCTAGGTCACTTATCTCATTATCCAAAAAATGCCAAGAACGACGCAAAGATGTCGCTGAAAAGGTTGTTTTTACAGCTATTTGAGAGATGTCGTTACACACGTAAAGCGTATCGCATTCTCGACGCGTGACGTGAATAAGAGAGAAATTCAAAATTTTGGAATTGTAACGTAAAATTGAGCTGCTATATGTATTGAATTTTATCTGTGAACTAATCCGTTAGTTGTTGTCGACTAGTTACTACTTTAGTTATATATTATACTCCTAGAATCTAGACTCCAATATAAAGCAATATATTGATCAGAAGTTATGCATGTTCAATTAGCTACAAACAGGAATAATCAGAAATCGAATCGATTATAACAGAATTTCAAATTTTAAATTTTTTAGAAATAATTTGGGATAATCAATTTTCGAAAATGGTCATTTTGACACAGTGCATTGGAATTGCAAGTGGTCTCAAGTTTGCATGAAAAACTCTGTGATTCCGAACAATGATTTGTAAAATGCATTATTGACAGATGGTCAACGAATTTTACTGAACACTGTTGCAATTTGGCATAAAAAAAAACTCTGAAATGTTTCATTCGCTCCATCAAAAGAGGTTGAATACCCCTGAAGAAAACTTTCAGAAATTGCAATGCCCACAGGGATGTCAATATGTGAAATATAATACCACCACTGAAATTGTAAGGGGGCAGCTGTCCTGGATTAGCCATAATTCCTTTCCAACGGAAAGTAGTATAGGTATGTATTCTAAAATACAAAATTTTTTTTGTGCTCACAATTTTTGCCATTCGACTAATCTCAATCTAAAGCATGATTGTGATAGAGATGTCAGGGGTTCGCTCCTTTTGGGAAACGCTGCCTATTTATTCGTTATCTCATCTGACCTATTTCTACTTTTCTAGCGACCACCTTGTATATCATCTCTCAAAAAATCATTTATTGCTTTCGAATCAGTCAACCAGGTTCAATCGAATGTGTGAAAATTAGCAGCTGAGTGTTGGTGAGGGATAGATGAGTGATCCAAGTATTCTAATCAGCTACGTCTCACCCCCAACGGGGTTTGAATTGAAGTAACCCTATGATGTTCCAAAGTTAATAATAAGCAGAACCCTGGAAAAAAAAAAAACTACCCAGAAAATCCACTTCTTTCCTTTATAAAATATGACGATTTAAAATTGTATCACCTATCTTAGAGTCAGAAATATAGAATACAAAAAACGGACGCTTCAGAAGTATGTGCACCAAGATGGCGGTCACCGGATTGAAGTATGTGTACCAAGTTAGGGTTAGGCCATAATATTATTCCAATTTTACTTATTTCAGATCTATTACGAGTTCGGGAACTACCCAAGTGACTCCCGTAGTATTTGCACCTGAAATTATGGACTAACCCTAACCTGGTACACATACTAGATTCCGGTGTCCGCCATCTTGGTTCACATACTTCTGGAGTACCAAAAAGCGTTATGATTATGAGTGTTGGGCCATGATCGTGAAAGTTTGAGGGTCGTTTCACTTGGTTTTAAAAAAAAAATTAACTCACCGTGGGCAGTAAGTCCAGGACTTCCAGTAAACTTTGCCACGTCGACGATTTTAACAGCGTACTGGAGTTTTGATCTTCGATGAGTGCAACGTCTCACAAAACTGAATGGACCTCTGTAACAGGAAAATGTATTTTGTTGAAAATGTTTTTATTGTCAATCTGGCAACTGGTATTTTTCTAGATGGCTCAGCATGATGTCATTGGTTTTCTGGAGACTGAGGCTCGTGTATGAATCCCAAATTCAAAAATATTTCGGGGGATAAACAAATTATAGATGTCACTATAAATGAGAACAAATAAATTGAAAGTTAAGTAAAAATGAAATGTCTGTATTAATATCATTTAAACCACCAAACTCACCCCTATAACATGCTTCCCAGGGTGGCTGCCCTCATGACCCCCCCCCCCCCCCCCCCTCTAAACACACCCCATGGTTACACTGATTTATATTTGAACAATTTATACCTGTAACAAAAATAATTATATGGTCACTGATCAGCATCCGAAACCACTAAAATTTTGGGTAGATCATGCTTAATATATATCATGATGTTGCTCCACTCCAACAAGATTCAGGCCTTTTCAAATACAATTAAAGCTTCTCACATATTATCATATTTCAGTGGCCTTTTGTAGAAGGCCATGTTCGAAGCTAAAAGCACCGCTATGAGTCAAGTGCAATTTCAAGTATTTTGTGGCATCTGAAGCTCAGGTGAGATTTCCAGACCCTGGACACTATGGCCAAACCCATGGCGACTGTCTTTTTGACTGCCACGAACCAATGGTTGGCTGCCGATACAACAGCAGAAAATTGAAAACTAAAGGCGGGTGAAATTTTGCTGCCGTAACCACAGCATGTCAGCTGTAATGGCAGGGCTGCCCGTGATGGTGATAAATATTGGGTAAGCTGGAACAGTTCCTTATAGATACAGTTTTGATGGATTTGGGGTTAGGTTTTAGGTTAAGTAGATATAATTCTGCATGATAAAATAAAATCTGGCTTTGTGAATATACCGGTAATAGCGCCATCAACAGGGCAAGAGCTGCCATCAGTTCGTGTGGTTGCCATGAAGTGGTAAGAACTGCGCCTCCTACGAGTCATAAAAATAAAAAATTACTCACTTTCCGATGGTCTCGTGCTGTTCATAGTTGGTCTCGAATCTCTCCTCTACCATATTGTTCATTATGAAAGATCACTCAGCAATTGATTTATTACTTGTCATTCATAGTCAGATCTAAGTACTTAAAATGTGATAAATATATTTCTGTTGCAGAATATATGAACGGAATAAAGTTAACTTGTGAGGAAAGATATTGCCAGATTTCACAAACCCATGTTTACATGTTACAATAGAACAGTCAGACAGTGGTGAGCAAATACTCTTCTGAGTGATCCTTTTACATCCGGCCCACAACTCAATATGAAAAACTATGAATATAAACAATATGGTTACACACAACTAGTGAGTCACAGCTAGATAAGTTTTAAAGTCATCTTTCACTACCTCAACCCACTGGAATATAGCAAATATTTTTTTTAAAATAAATTACATTTATTCATTTTTTTTCCATTTTACATTCATAATCCAGTTGAGTGAGTTCCATATTTCAGTATTTTTCAAGCTTGATCCAGCAGTAATAATTATCGATAACAATTAGGTTATTTCAATAATAACATCGACATAAAACAATGAACAAACAAATTAGCAAATGCAATAACACTTAGATCTATCACGAACTTCATATTTAAAATAAGGCTTCGCGTGAATTTTGTAAAACTAGGCTATCATGAACCGTTTGTTCACTCTGGAATTCTCTATATTTTTTCCACTTCTTGACCTATTACAGTATTGGAATTATTTATGTCTGCTCTAAATGTAGAGCAATATACAGATATAAGTCTGTAAGGTGTTTTATTTTCAAATATTGAAATATGATCTAACGATAGAATTTTTGGGTCTGGTATAGTTTAGTACCACATGCACTTCTAGTTGGCCTGGCTAAACAATTTTTGCATATTTCAATCCCAACCCCAACCTGACTACGTTACCGAAAAATTACGTCATTTCGAAGTCACAGTGGCGTAAAAAGCCCCCCCCCCCCCAAAGTATGCTGAGGTCGTCCAAAACGCACAGGCGATCACTCGAAATCGAGCAAGCTATTTCTCTCATTTTTTTGTCGCAACGATCACGATATGAAAGAGATTCCCAACGTTAGCAAGTTCCTTATCCAGTTATCACTGTATCAGTGATAACTGGGCGATTGTAATTATATTTTGACAGGCTCTATGACATGATGGTGATGTTGTAGCGACGTACTTTTTGAATGGCATAGTCAGGTGGGGGTTAGGAATGACATATGCAAAATTCTTTATGCTACGCTCCACTAGAAGTACTTGTGGTAGTCTACTAAACTATACTATAAGTATAAGTTTATTTCGACTCCATAATCCAGTAATCAGCATAACACTTAAATGATTTGTATAAAAAATAAATCAATCAATCATTCATTTTGGTTCTCTGACATAAACAATACAAAAAGTAAACGGACAAAACAAAATGCAGTGATACCTGGGAGACAGGCATAACTTAAAAAAGGTTAAAAAGCGTACAATGTACTTGCCGGCCCAACAGAAGATAAATGAAACAAACACAGATTTAAAAACGCGATCGGGCATCACTTTGGAAGCAATTTAACAAAAACAACCAATTGCAGAATTGAAGTAGAAACTTCTGACAACTGAAATAAAAACTGATTATGAAATCAGGAGAGCAAACAAAACCTTGGACAAGGTTTAAAACGCACAGAATACAAGATGGAAGGTCGTGCCAAGAAGAAGTGGTACGCGTTCACTCACCCAAAATAATGGAAATATTTCACACACTCTCACACAACCATACAGAAGTTACAAAGTAAAAAGAACCCGAATTTTTCATGATCCAAATTTTATAGCCTACCGTATCTCACAATTTATATGACGAAAAAAATAAATACTACTAGTCTACTTTATTAGTGCTACTAAACCTATTCCGGTACATCGGGTTTTCTAAAACAAGAAAACCATTCCCATGTTCGACAAACTGACAATAGCGTCATAACGTAGTACCGGTAGGCCTACCCTACCGGTACGGTAATATCCCAACAATTTTACTGTATGGCCCCGTTATTATTTTGTCCACATGACACGCAAAAGAATCATTACTTTGCAAATATGAAAATCTGTTAATTCAGCAACAACTAGCCTACAAGCAAATAAACTAAAACCACAATCAGCAAAATTTCTCATTCATTTCGCAAGAGAACCGACCTGACGGACCTCTGTGAAGCTAGCAGCAAAACACGAAATTGTGACTGACAGAATCGCAGAAAATACCCACGCGTAAAATTAAATGTTCCCAATGATTTTTAAAAGAAAGTGTACATTTTGATAAGTTTCACAATAGCAAATAAAGCAAAACAATCATTAACTACAATCCTCGTATTGTTAACACATAGTAAACAAGCTAAAGCGACTGCCACAGTGCATAAATTTTTTTTATACTTTTTTGAGAGTTGTTTAAAATGACTGAATTTTCGTCGTTTAGGACGGTCGTTTCATGAAAACCTCCAATAAAGGCAGCATTGCAACACCATTGGTAAAAAGTAGAAACCTCAAAGATTCGATTTCATTATGTCAGAACAGTCTCAGCACGTTTTGACTTGGCCATATATAATACTAAACATAGCGTATAATTTTCAATTTTATGCACAATATATACAACAAATTTAAAACTGATTTTGTATTTCAACTAAGTTTACTGGATAGTTAATCAAAGAAGATATTTTTCTCTTTGTCACACAACAACAATGCACTTCATTAAACTTAGAATAAGTTGAGGAAAGTCTAAAACACCAAAAAAAAAAAATTACGCACTCTTGTGGATTCTTTAATAAATTTCACGAAATTATCGTTTTTGAAAGGTCGATTTTTCAAAAACCGCCAATAAAGGCAGCACTACGACACATTCGGAGAAAAGCAGATACCTTATAGATTTGATTTCATTATGTCAGAACAATAGCAGAACGTTTTGACTTAGCCATATATAATACCAAACATAGCGTGTATTAAAATTTTATAAACAATGCAGACGTAACATATTTAAAAACGGTTTGGTATTTCAACTAATTTGCTAGATAATTTATCAAATATCTTTTTCTCTCGGACATACATATATACTGTACGTTTAGTAAACTTGGAATGAGTTGCGGAAAGTATGAAATAACAAAAAATCGTTTTACGCCCTCTTGTTGATTATTTTCAAATTTTCAACAAATTATCGTTTTTGAAATAGCGATTTCTCAAAAACCACCAATAAAGGCAGCACTACGACACATTCAGAGAAAAGCAGATACCCTATAGATTCGATTTTAATATGTCAGTACAGTAGCAGCACGTTTTAACTTGGCCATATATGATACCAAACATAGCATATAAATTTCAATTTTATTAACTATGTAGATGTAACATATTTAAAAACGTTTTGGTATTTCAACAAAATTTACTGGATAATTCATCAAATACTTTTCTCTCTTGGTCATACATCAAAACTGTACATTCAATAAACTTAGAATAAGTGGGCAAATCTTAAAATAACAAAAAATGATTTTACGCCCTCTTGTGGATTTTTTTCGGAATTTCAAAAAAATATCGTTTTTGAAATTGCGATTTCTCAAAAACCGCCAATAAAGGCAGCACTACGACACATTCGGAGAAAAGCAGATACCCTATAGATTCGATTTTAATATGTCAGTACAGTAGCAGCACGTTTTAACTTGGCCATATATGATACCAAACATAGCATATAAATTTCAATTTTATTAACTATGTAGATGTAACATATTTAAAAACGTTTTGGTATTTCAACAAAATTTACTGGATAATTCATCAAATACTTTTCTCTCTTGGTCATACATCAAAACTGTACGTTCATTAAACTTGTAATAAGTGGGCAAATCTTAAAATAACAAAAAATGATTTTACGCCCTCTTGTGGATTTTTTTCGGAATTTCAAAAAAATATCGTTTTTGAAAGGGCGATTTCTCAAAAACCGCCAATAAAGGCAGCACTACGACACATTCGGAGAAAATCAGATTCCTCATAGATTCGATTTTAATATGTCGGAACAGTAGCAGCACGTTTTAACTTGGCCATATATGATACCAAACATAGCATATAATTTTCAATTTTATTAACTATGTAGATGTAACATATTTAAAAACGGTTTGGTATTTCAACTGAATTTACTGGATAATTCATCAAATACTTTTTCTCTTGGTCATAAATCAAAACTGTACGTTCATTAAACTTGGAATTAAGTAGGCAAATTTAAAAATACCAAAAAATTATTTTACGCCCTCTTGTGGATTTTTTCTGGAATTTTTAAAAAAATATCGCTTTTGAAAGGGCGATTTCTCAAAAACCACCAATAAAGGCAGCACTACGACACATTCGGAGAAAAGCAAATACCTGATAGGTTAAATTTCATTATGTCAGAACAGTAGCAGCACGTCTTGACTTGGCCATATATAATACCAAACATAGCATGTATTCAAAATTTTATAGACAATGCAGACGTAAAATATTTAAAAACCGTTTGGTATTTCAACTAAATTTACTAGATAATTTATCAAACATTTTTTTCTCGTGGACATACATATATACTGTACGATCATTAAACTTGGATCAAGTTGCGGAAAGTATAAAATACCAAAAACCAAGTTACGTCCTCTTGTGGATTATCTTCAAAATTTCGAAAAATTGTCGTATTTGAAATAGCGATTTCTCGAAAACCGCCAATAAAGGCAGCATTACGACACATTTGGAGAGAAGCAGATACCTTATAGATTCGATTTTAATATGTCAGAACAGTAGCAGCACGTTTTAACTTGGCAATACATGATACCAAACATAGCATATAATTTTCAATTTTATTAAAAAATGTAGATGTTACATATTTAAAAACTATTTGGTATTTCAACTAAATTTACTGGAAAATTCATCAAACATCTTTTTTTTTTTGGACGTACATCAATAATGAACGTTCATTAAACTTGGAATAAGTTGCAAATTGTATAAAACAACAAAAAAATGACTTACGCCCCATAGTAATTTTGTTTAATATCTCGAACATACCGTTTTTGAAGTGGCGATTTCCACAAAACCGCCAATAAAGGCAGCACTACGACACATTCGAAGAAAAGCAGATACTCCATAGATTTAGT